GGCAGCAATAAGTTTACGCTGTATGTTTAACTTAAAGCAGTTAATACTTTTTTAGCATACTTTCTACTTTGAAGCATGTGAAAATTTCTTTCCGTGCATTAATATTAACATTTCTGCCTTTATATGTAAGATGTGATATTATTTTGTAATATAATCGTTTAATATAAGGTTTTTTTTTACAAGAAAGTATAAGAAAATAAATGCTAAACTCTGATATGAACATTTCTATTAAAAACTATTACTGCAAGAACGAACAGCAGGTTTAACTCTATAAAGAATTTTTCACAAAAAGGTTTATCTTCGTGTGGCCACTTGAAGATAAACATTCTTATGAAGTGTAACTTTCGTAATTGACAGTGTGAAAATTTAAATTTGTAAATTTTCGATTGAGTTTTATATATAAGTCTGGTCATTTTTTTATGTAAGTCATGCCCCTTGTTTGATAAATTTACTCATGCTATCCAATTTTCAGAGTAAGTTCATATAAAGTTAATAAGAACGCCAGGTTAAGAATTTTGTTTTTTGTTACTTTTAAAACAACATGTTTTCGCTTTTTTTTAATGTTGACATCACGTGATATAATATTCAAAATTTTATTGGTTTTCGCTTATGACGATTCGTAAAAAGTCGAAATGAATCCGACTTTTTTTTTCGCTGCAGCGAAACGCTGTAGCGAAAAAAAAAAATCGCCAAAAATGTTTAATCTGCGCATGCTTAACGACGAAAATATTCGCTTCGCGCAAATTTTTTGTCTTGTGGAAAACGGCCTTTAATTATTTTTTTGCGTCTTTGATAGAAATATTTGCACACTCGCAATGGTACCACTGTGGACATTTTGTACACTGCACCCAATCTTTCTTATATATATATATATATATATATATATATATATATATATATATATATATATATATATATATATATATATATATATATATATATATATATATATATATATATATATATATATATATATATATATATATATATATATATAGATTAATTTTTGTCAATAGTAGCAAAAATATAACAATTTTTCTTTATAATAAATTAGTTTATTTATTATAAATTTGTTATAAATTATTAAATTTCATTTGCTATTTAATATCTGTTTTTGTGGGTAAAAATATGAAAATGTTTTTTTTATTTCATAACTATTAATTAGTCTGCACCTGTTCATAGACGCAACAAAATTAGTTATTTTTAGGAAAAAATTTTATTGGTACCTTTAATGAAGTTCAATTCCGTAAATACATTTATGACGCTTTATGTGGTGGATGTTTGAAAAATCTTGAAGTTGGTTTTGATAAGTTGTATGATGTTTGTAGAGTAAGTGAATAGTTTGTAACATTACCATGGAAATAAAATACTATTTTATTATTATTTTTCTTTCTCTAAACTAACAAACTATATCTATATTCTTTAAAAAAAAAAAATATATATATATATATATATATATATATATATATATATATATATATATATATATATATATATATATTTATTGAAGCGTAGGAAGGTCAAGAATGTGAGGGGTGAGGGTGGAAACGGAAGTAATGGGGGTTAATGTAGCCAGTATCGCCTTCCCTTGTTCCTAAACTGAAAGTTTGTAATAAATTAAAAAAATACATATCTATACTTAAATCTACAACTTATAAAAAACTTATAAAAAAACTAAAAACCAAGCCCTTTTTTGGTTAGCACCCTTAGGCAGTTGCCTAGATTGTTGACTATTAATATAATCATTATATTTTTTGATAATCTAACCTTCTGTAAATGTACTAACCCTTGGTTTTCGGAGTTGCATTCAAATTTAGGATAATACATATTTTAAGAACTAGATATCTATGTTCTTATAGGTGTATAGTGTATGTCTACAGATATGTTACTGAGATATACTACAGAATAATCTTAGCTTTTTATCATTATAGATTTTCCGTAATACTGACGTTAAAAAGAAAGATTGGGTGCAGTGTACAAAATGTCCACAGTGGTACCATTGCGAGTGTGCGAATATTTCTATCAAAGACGCAGACATCAGTGATTCCGTTCAATGCCAAAGATAAAGCAATTTTAAAACGGCTATTTTCATAGCCACAAATTTTAAAAAACATTAAACGGCATAGTAACATTTTAGTAACCACCTAATAGCCACTTCAGTTGATCATTCAAGTTGGTGAGTAGTACATGTCTTCGGAAAACTCCATTGAGGTAATCATTATTTTTTATAAAGAAGCCTAAGGTTTTTTTTGGTTCGTACCTCTAGCTCAGTAGTCGGCACCATATTTTCAAAGGAACCCACTTGCAAAATTCTTGTTTTAGTTGCGGCCTACAGCAATAAATAAATTATAAACAAAATATACTATATTAACTATATAATATAGTATAGTATAGAATTAGATTATAGAACTAATAATTGTATTATTACTATTCTAATTGTATCATTACAAAATACATACTTAAGAAATTGTGGGCCGCGACCCACAATTTGCCGACCCCTGCTCTACCTCCACTTCCTTAAAGTATTTTACAATACTAAAATAAGTTCTCATTACAACAACGGCATGCATAAAATGCAATTAAATTGCATTTATTTATTATTGTTTAGTTTCAAACTTTAGCAATGTAGAGTTTTAATAAACCGTTTCTTAAAGGGATAAAAATTCGAAATTTGTAACCAAAAGTTTGAACTTTTTGAATATAAATATTCTGAGAGAAAATGCGGCCTTAGTTTTACTACATATTTGCACTTATTTTAGCGAGATAAGTATTTTTGTCACATAAATATACAGGTCCGTATTAGACCTGTATATTTTTATAGACATGATGCACAGGGCCCTATCCAACCGAAGACAAAATATGTCGAGTTGATTTTTTTATTAACGACACGATTTAAGTAAAACAGATAAAAACACGTCACAGTTAATGCAGAAAACAAAACCGTGATTAAATGAGTTTTATAAAAATATTAGCATACAAAAATAGGGGTCTATCGCACATGTCACACACACCTATTTTTATATATTATTATTATTATATATTTATATTAATATTAGCATACAAAAATAGGGGTCTATCGCACATATCACACACACCTATTTTTTTATACACCTGGTCGATGTTTTTATGCTCTGACAAACTGATCATAAATTTATGTAATAATAATCATCACACATAATGCACATCGGTTAGAAAGGAAGCATGCACTTCTTAACTCTTGCGTAGTGTTTTGTGCAGAGTCCGTGGCTAGGGTTGTCATGTGCGATAGACCCCTATTTTTGTATGCTAAAACTTGCGTGAAATCAAAAGAATTTTTACAAAATTCTCTTTATTTCACGCAAGTTTTAGCATACAAATTAAGCAAGATATTTTCGAATATTTGCTAATATTATTATATTTGTTAATCAAAACGGCTTTTTTTTTCAAAAACGACCTCTATTCAAAAAAAATAATTCGTGGTACGGGCTTTTATATTTATCTAGCATTGAAAAAAATAATACCTGATACTGAAAAAAATTTAAAATCTTATTTAAAAAATAATTATGTAATCCGTTTAATACTAAAGTTGATAAATGTCCGACAGACATTTCAGACGGACATTTGATACAGACATTGTCCGTATCAAAATTTCATTTGTTGTTTACATGTTTTATTTTAAGTACGAATTTTAGTTTACATGTTTTATTTTAATCACGATTTTTAGAATTATTGCGGGACGCGTATACGGTTTATTTTATAAATCAATAGGTGCAATTCTCCCCTACACTCGATTCGTAGTTAAGAACCACAGCCATTTTAAAAGTTCAAAATTTGTAGTTATTTTCTAACGCACGCGTACCTAAACATAACGCTTGTAAACGACCCTTCAAAAAATATGGGCACCCTACAACTCTGAGCTCCCCTCCCCTCCGCATTGCGGGGTTTTGCGGTATGGTAGTTCCGCCACTGTCAGGTGTTCTGATTGATCCACCTTTTCAAGGTCAATTAATTAGACCACCTGGTGTTATTTATCACCTAGGTACACATAATCACCTAGGTAATTATTTTTGTATAGTTTTTATCATATAGTCTTATGAAGTATCTGGGAAAAATCCAGTTAGTATAAAAAAAGATAAAATTAATACTTCGACAATTCCGTTAAAAGAATAATGGTTTCTAACCACCTAGTTTGGAGCCACTTAGCTAATTAAACAACCTTGTTATATATAAAACTGTAGTTTCAAAATTTTAAATTTAAAAATGTTACTTGATTGATCTAAAGTCTTTAGGATTCCATCATAACTTACTGAGTTAAGAACAAAAAAGTGAGCCGAAATATCTACTGATTTTTTGTATACCCCAATATGCAGAACAATATGTTGAGACAATGCATTGCCTCATTGAACCAAATTTATGCATAAAAACTATTGTCATTACAACAACACAATAAGCAAGACTTCTATAGTTTGAAATCCAGACTTCCGAGTAAACATTTAAACTGATAATCAAATTAATGAAATATTTTTAAACTTGTTTTTTTTTCAAACATATTTAAAGACAGATTTTTTTGATGACTACAACTTTTTTTTCTTCCGGGTACTCTTTAAAGTTTTTTTTTTTTTTTTTTTTTTTTTTCTTTCACAAAACATATGGTTTTCAAATCAACTTACTATATACCCAATAATTTTTTAACGCTCTTCCGTTTCCGTTTTTTTGTATAATTTTCATATAATAGTTATTTTTAAGCAATATATTTTGATCTAATTTATTTTAATTTCATTTAATTCATTTCATTTCATTTAATATTAATTATTAAGAGGTGCGAGATGCATTTTAGCAGCATGCAACAATTAATGGAGATGAAGTAATATAACATTTCCGCCAATTTCTCTTTAAAACGAAAAAGAAACATAAAGTAAACATCCTCCGTTCTTTAAACACTTCAACTAAAGTCTATTAATAATTTACAATGTAAACTTCTGTTTCTTATTTTAAAAGAAGTCAGGGGGAACATTACAATTTATTAAAAAAAGAGGTTCACGAGTTTTAGCATAATCATCCATAAAAGACTTGCTTTAGTTCCTAAATTAAATCTTGTAAACAAGCCTTCACTACTATCGTAAAAACGCTGAAGAAAAAATAGAATAAAAAAATAAATAGATAAAGCTTGTTTTGTAGCTTGAAATGGAGCATCGTAACACGCAGAAAGCATTTTTAGTTGATCGTAAACAAAAAAAAGTTTGTCACGTAACCAACACTTGCGCAAAGACCATTTTTAAAAAAGATAGCGAACTAAATAATGACAGGTAATCTATTTCCATGCTTATGTTAGTGCAACTAAATAAAAAATACGAGTCTTAACCAATACTTGTAACCAAAAAACTAAATTTTATAACTGGAATAATCACGATATATTTTAAGGAACCTAACGGAAAACTAACTTTACTAAATAGATATAGAGTTGCTTAAATATTTCAAAACTCCAGTACAGTATGCGTGTGTTAACCCCTATAACGATAATAAATTGAACTGTTGCAATTTGTTATTAAACAAAACTTTCCAGAAGTTTGTTATACAACTTAATTATTATTATTTTTATATCTTTAATTTAAGCTAAATCTATTTGTTAATTTAAATTGGTAAACTTGTTTTTAGTTGTTAAAAGAAAGAAAGAAAATGTTATTGAAATTTTAGAATTATTAGCCATAACATTTGTTAAAAATTAAACACATTAATGTTAGACTAAACAAATCGTAGCTAAACAAGTTGCGTTCGAAATCATTTACTTAAGAGATGAAATTATTTTTACCAATACTTCGTTCTCAGTCTACTATTCAACTGAGAAAGCAATTAAAAAAGGGCTTAAAACTTGTCAGTAGCGATACAACAGATTTTTTTAGATATATAAACCCAAGAAAAAAAGTTCTATAGAATTTTCTATAAACTTTTCAAACATATGGCCTATAGAAACTCTATAGAATTTATATAGAATGTCTATTAATTTCAAACGTGGTGTGACAGCAAGTGTGCTATGTGGCATAGCCATCAGTTTTACTTATTTACTTAACGCTTGTCGTATCTATAATTAAATTTATAATTATAAAATTACAAAATTTTAAAAAAATACTAATGGTGTAACAAAAACAGATTTTTTTTTCATTTAAGTTTACCTTTACAAGTATTTAATAATTTATCTTTTTCCTTTTGTTTGCTTATTTTTATTTATTATTGTTTTAAAGATGTCTAAATGTGAAGGGAAAGTTTGGACCTTTTCAGTTTTACTTTAATCCGTTAACTACTTGTTTATCGGCAGTTGTAATTTGGGCATTTGTTGTTTGGTGCATTTATAATCCAATCGAGTCATATAACGAGATATCGAAATGGAAAATTTGGATTACTCATAAATGGACATGGCTTTATATTGGCACGCGCGATGTTTGGGCATTGTTTATCATAGTCATTTACTTTTCAAAATATTCGTCAATAAAATTAGGTAAATCTAAAGTTAAAACTAATTTAAAAGTATATTAGTAATTACGTTTATTAAGAAAAGGTTAATATAGAATAATATATCAACATAGAAATACTTAATTAACAGGAAAAGACGATGAAAAACCAGAGTTTTCAGATGCGTCTTACTTTACAATGCTATTTTCTGCTGGAATTGGAGTTGGTCTTTTTTACTTTGGAGTTGCTGAACCTGTCTACCATTATGCACCAGGTCGTGATCGTAACAGATATTGGGGAAGGTGTGAAAATATACTATGTTATTTACTTATCTGTTTTGATTATTAAAGTTTTTAAAAAGCTCTAACAATTTTAAATATTTTTATTAATCAAATTAGTATATATTATAAATAATATAAAACTGTTTTATTTTTAAAAAGATACAACGATAATCAGAGAGCGCAAGATGCAATAAACTTGTCTTTTTTTCATTGGGGAATTCATGGATGGATTGTCTATGTACTTATTGGCTTGCTACTTGGTGTACTTTCTCATAGAAGAGGTTTACCAATGACAATGAGATCTTGTTTTTATCCGTTACTTGGAGACAAAGTGTTTGGTTTATTTGGAGATTTTATTGATACAATGTCAATCATTTGTACAATGCTTGGAGTTTGTACTAGTCTTGGTAAGTTTAACTTTCTCAACTCTGTAGTTGCTGTTTTTAATTAATAATAATGTTATAATTGTTAAATAATGACTAACTTTGAAAACTAGTAAACTAAAATTTATAAAGAAAATTTTTTTAAATTATATTTTGTTTGCTTAGTTAGTAATCAGAAATTTAATGAACAAAATTTTTATATATTTGTACTACATTTAATATAGAAGTTTTTGCACGCAAGCAAAATAAAAGCGTTTCAAAACTTTTTAATTAATAGGTTTAGGGGTCATTCAATTGAACAGTGGTCTTAGTCGATTGCATAAAAGTATTGAGGAATCAGTGTCTAATCAGATTATTATAATATGGTGTGTGACCATAGTAACAACAGCTTCAGTTATAAGCGGAGTTAAGTTTGGAATAAAGTGGCTATCTGAAATATGTTTTATGGTTGGTCAGTTAATGTTTATTTGTTTGCATTACATTTTAGTTGTTAATTGTTCTATCATATTGTTATATAAATTGATAATTATTCTATACTATCACATTGTTATATCATATTATAATTTATATTTTCTTATGCATAACAAATAAAAAAATTTTAGGAACAGTTTTGTTACTGGTGGTTTTCTTTTCTGATGACACCTGGTTTTTACTTAATTTATTTGTCCAATCTTGTGGTTACTATGCTCAAAATTTTATTGAGGTTGGTTTCCATACTGATGCCTTTGAAATGAAAGGTGATGCTCCAGACGGTAAACAAGCTCCTGGATGGATGGACGCGTGGACTCTCTTTTACTGTATGTAATATTTTCGTATTATTCAAGCAAATATCAAAATTTTAATCTGTAGGAAAAAAAATGTCTTTTGGTGATTGTTGCTTATTTTTTTTGTTTAGTTTTACTCTGTTTTGTTTTAAAAAGAATACTTCCAATTTTAAAAAACATAGTAATATTAAATACAATAATAAACTTTTATTAGGGGGTTGGTGGGTCAGCTGGTCTCCTTTTGTTGGAATGTTTTTTGCAAAAATTAGTCGTGGAAGAACCATCAAAGAATTTATAACGTACACTCTCACAGTACCAATTTTTTACACATTTCTTTGGTTAACCGTATTCGGCGGAGCAGGGTTAGCTATGGAGCGGAAAGCTGAGGTTCTCAACATATCCTGTGAAATGTATAAGTAAGTCAATTTAATAATTTATACTCTAATTAAAATGCAGGTTTTACTATGTAGGAGTAAGATTATTTTTATAATGTTAAATAAATACAATTCAGCACATCCCTCTTTCCAAACTATGGCCCTAAATACATTAAAGAAACGTTTGGTGTCCATCGATTATCTTGCCGTCTTTCTACAGATATGTGGTTTGATGTAATTGAACAATATGGAGAAATTGGATCAGCACTTCATGTGCTTTCGATTGTTGGTCTTATTTTGTACTTCATCACATCTTCAGATAGTGGATCTTTAGTTATTGATTGCCTTTCAGCAAATGGAAACCCAGATCCTCCTATACTCCAGAGAGTTTTTTGGTCATTTACAGAGGGTGCAACAGCAACAGCTTTGCTTAAAGCAGGCGGTAAAAACGCATTAGTTGCATTGCAAACAGCATCTGTATGCGCAGGATTGCCATATACATTTATCTTAAACTTTGCGTGCGTGTCTTTGTGGCGAATTTTAAAAATTGAAGCAGGTGATTTAGATGAAGAAGCAGGAAAATGGCGCGTTGGACTATTTGAATGTTTTACAACAAAACTGCGGTTTAAAAATACTCTTCTCACTACGATTGCGCCATGGTATCTTCTTGCAGAAACAGCTACAAAGATTGAAGCCAAAAAAAAAGCATACTTTACAGCTTACAGCATATTTTACGCATTTTTGTTTTATGGCTGGATAACACTTATGGTTTGCGAAACAATAGTTGATGGAATATCATATGTGGGTTGGGTAATACTTGTCATTTTTTTTGGTTATGCGTGTCGGGTGAGGGGATCTGTCAGAGAAAAATACAAACTACAAGGAAATATAGTAGAAGATTTTTTTAGTTTATGCTTACTCTATCCGTGTGCAATACTACAGATACACGAACAAGTCGATTACGAGTTGAAAACGAATTTATTTACGGGATTAGAGCAATGCATTACTCAAAAGCAAATCAGTGTGAACCAAAATACTCAATCTGACGTGTAAATTGTTTTAATAATGATAGAATATATAATCCGTACAAAAGTTGATCAAAACATTAAAAATTTCTACCACTAATAACGCAATAACTTAAAATATTTAAAACCAATATTTAAAATTTTTCTGAATGATTTATTAAACTATAAAAATTTTAAATTTCATGAAAATGTTAAAGCCTTGTTTTTGTTTTTTTTTTTCAATTTTGGGAAAAAAACCCGGGAATTTTCTGACTCGAAAATTTAAATTAAAAATATTTGAATCAAAAAACTTTTTTTTTCTAAAAACATATTTAAAAAGTGCATTTGTTAAGATCGTTCACCCTAACTAATTTTTTTTTGCTTTTAAACAAAAGCTGTAACGAAAAAATTATAAAAATACTTTTGGTGTAAAGTATACAAAAGTTATTTTCTCCATCTAAATACAATACAATATACTTAAGATTAGCAATAAAAATGCTATATATTTTAATAAAACGAAGGAGTATTATATATATATATATATATATATATATATATATATATATATATATATATATATATATATATATATATATTTATATATACATAAATTTATAAACAAAAAAAATAGAACTTTTTATGGTACTAATAGTTTCATGTTTAAAAGAAAATCATCAGCCATGTAATACAATATCAAGAACTCTTGATATTGCATTACATGGCTGATGATTTTCCTTTAAACATGAAACTATTAGTACCATATATATATTTATAAAAGTTGATAAGTATAATATAACAAAGAATTTCAGAATTTTAACTGTATAAATCTTAACAGTATTGATTAGTTACAAATAGTTTGTTCCATGAGCTATTATTTTGATATTATTGGATTTATTTCCACACTTAGCGTAATGGTGTTTTGGTATAATTACTGTTTAAATTACTGATAGAGCAAAAAAAGCTTAATTGGTACTTTAAGTAAAAAATTCTTCGAAAGATATTTGTGACAACTAATTTGGTGATTCCAGAAAAAGAGTGGAGAAAACCTTTTTTTTTTTCATAAAAATAACATACTTGTTATTGAAGTAAAAAGGAATTTTTACTTCACTAAAAGATTTATGGTTCAAAAAACACATAAAACGCAATATCTCTTATGCGCATGCGCGAAATTTGACGCTGCTGATGTGTAGCACAAATGAGTTAATTAGGATGATTACGCGTAGTTTCTGGCATTTTTGAGGGAAGACTTTTAGATCAAATGAATTGGTCAAGTTACCCTTGATGCTAACCAACCCCATCCTCCTCTATGCCATCATAGGAGCAGTAGTTGTCTATGATGGTATACTTGTGCTTTTTTTTTAAATAAAAAAAAATAATAAAAAAAAAAAAAACTGATGAAAACTCCTAAAGTTATTATTGTTCTACATGTAACAAAGAATGTATCCATATCAAAACTTTTGTTCTTGGTCTTCAGGATACTGAATAATAAAGCTTTAAAGTTAAGTATGCCATCATAGGCGCCTTTCCCCTAAAACATTTTTTTTTAAATTTACACATTATTACATTAATTTACGCGTTTGTGTAAACAATCATTATAATTATTTTTATGGTTATATTTAAAGCCTTTGCAAAAAATAAAAACTTTAGAAAAGATCAACGATTAAAAGTTATTCATAACTTAACACTTTTTTTTAATGCATTTAAATTGTTAAAACATCAAAATAGCCGTGGTCAAGTTGCAAAGAAAAAAAAATGTAATATTTATTAATGTAATGTGTGTGTAATAGTTTGATAAGTTAACATTTGAAATAGGTAAGCATGCCTCACGCATTCTTGAAATTAGTTCATTTTTTCCAGCTGGGGCCGTGTTTTTCTTCGCACGATAAAAAAAATCTCTTCACACGGATTCAAGAATGGTGAAAATGGTGGCAAATATTTTATTTGAATGTTCTGAGCCCTCATCTCAACATAATGATGGATTCTGACATTATCCATCACCAGGGTGAATTCTTCCTCTGTCCCCAAAACTCGTACAACTTCATCAATATATTCTTGAAATAAAACTGTGTCGACTGACACACTGGCAGCTTCGCAGTCAATAATATTTAAACCATTAACGGCCAATATCATCGAAACGTTACGCTGCCTAGGGCGAATGATCGGGTTTGGTGTTATTATTATTATTTTTTTTTGGTTTACAATTGTTAATCGTTGTACAACCCATAATAAAAATAATAATATAAACTTACAATGGCATAAAACATAACAAACATAAACAAGATATCTGAAAGAAGATCGCAAGGATCTTGTCATCAGAACCTTAAAAAAGCATTTAACAAATACAAGATTTAAAAAAAAAAATTATAAATTTATACAAAATTGCAAGGCAAACAACCTGTGTCTGAAGAAAGATCAAGAAGATCTTTTCATCAGATTTTAATACAGAGTAAACCAACATATAAATTAAAAAGTAAAAAGTATAAGAACAATAAATAAAATAAGCAGGAATTAACTTCTATAAACAAAAAAAATAGACCAAAATATATTTTTAACTTTTACTACTAATAATAACTCAATATATTATCTATGAAAGAATGAGGTTTTTCAGTTTTTTTTTAAAAAGGCAAAAAAGTAATAGGTACTTCAAAAATAAAATTTGCCAAAACAATTTTATTCCAAAGGTGTGGCGCTCGATAGGTAACACAAAATTGATTAAAGTTTGTTTGACAGTAAGGCTCATTTAAAAAGTTATTATTTCTCAAAATATATTTACTGACTGGTTTAAAAGAGAAAAGATCTTTGAATACGGCTAGGGATAAGTTATTTATCCACATATACACAAAACATAAAATATTAAATATATTTAACTCGTAAATATTTAGAATTATCATTTCAATAAAATAATGCTTCGAATAAGAAAAGCGGTTTGCAAAATTGATTATACGGATTGCGCGTTTCTGACGGAGATAAAGACGTTGCAACTTACTTTTTTCTGTACTTCCACAAGCAATATTGACATAATTTAAATAACTATGTATAAATGAATAATAAAGTTGGATTAAGACTTTCTTATTGAGATAGATTCGTAATTTATATAGGATGCCCATGTTTTTAGAAATTTTTGTGCTTATATAATCAATATGGTGATTCCAAGTAATGCTTTCATCAAGATAAACACCTAAAAATTTTGTAACAAAATCTCTTTTTATTTCCTTTTGATTGATAAAGATTTGAGGTAATTTTGGTGGGAGAAGTTGCTTATTTGTAATCGAATGAAATAAAACCCAATTTGTTGAGTTCTTTGTCACTGTTTTAAAAAGTTTATCGATATCATAGTTAGAAAGGAATAAATTTGTATCATCTGCATAGATAATGCTTGAAAGTTTTGAAGCTTTATTAAAGTCGTTTATATAAATTAAAAAAAGGAGAGGTCCAAGAATTGAACCTTGTGGGACTCCACAGGTTATATTAAGAAAAGTGGGTCAGTAATCATTGTAAAATGGTCATATTGCTTTCGATTAGATAGATAACTTTTAAACCATTTTAAAATTTTATTTTTTATTACGTAGAATTTGAGTTTATAAATTAAAATATGGTGATCGACCGTATCAAAAGCTTTTGATAGGTCAATAAAATTCCTAGTGTATATTGTGATTTTTCGAATGATTTTGAGATTTCACGTACAAATTGAATAATTGCATGTTAAGTTAAGTTATTTTTCTTGAAACCAAATTGATTGATGTAAAGTAGATTATTATCATGAAAATATTTGTATGTTCTGTTAAACATAATTTTTTCTAAAATTTTCGAAAATGTGGAGAGAACAGAGATAGGGCGATAATTACTGATATCAGATTTGTCCCCTTCTTTAAAAATAGGAATAGTTTTTGCATTTTTTAACTGTTCTGGGAACACTCCTTGATGGATAGAAGCCCTAAAGAATTTAAAGAGAACAATTTTAAGTTGTTCAAAGAAATCTAAAACCACGTTTCCATTAATTTGATCTGCTCCAATTGCTTTATTTTTTTAAACAGGTTTAAAGGCTCTTTCAAATTCATCAAACATTAATTCGGAAGATAACTCATCTCAACCAATGCAATTATCGAGGGGTTCTAGATAGTCAGTAAACAAAAATTTTGCCTTAGGGATTTTTTCAGACAGTGTTAGTCCTATATGAGTGAAATATTTTTTAAATTCTTGAGCTATAGTTTTTGGATCATTTAAACTTTTGTTATCGACTCTAACCATTTGTGGCAGAAAAACGGAGCATGGTTTATTTTTGCCAATAATTTATTTCATTATTTGCCACGTGCGCTTTGTGTCGTTTTTAAATGTATTGAATAATTGGGAGTAATAATTTTTCTTCAAATTTTTGCGAATTTTTTCAAATAGGTTTTTGTAGTTCTTATAGATTTTTTCGCTTGAAGTTGTTTTTGTTTTTAAAAAATTTATGTATATTTTTTGTTTTATTCTGGAATATTTTTTAAAACCTTTAGTAATCCAGGGTGTATTGATATTCTTAGTTGTTATTGTTTTTTCTACTATTGGGAAATTAACTTCAACTACAGAAAAAAATGTTTGAAAAAAGTTTTATAAATATTATTTGCGTTATCATCAAAATTTATGTTTTTCCAATGCAGTAATGATAATTGTTCTTTAAATAATTTAATATTAGCCTCATTATAAATGCGTTTTCTTATTATTTTTTTTATATTAATGTTTCTTTCTGGGTTTGTTTTATTAAGTTTTAAGAATAGAGGAAAATGATCCGATACATCAGTTTTTATGATACCTATTTGTATATTATTATTAAAAATATCAGTAGTTATAATATTATCTATGTTACACTTCTTCTTGCCCATGAATGACTGCGAAACATGTGTAAATTAAATGGGCTTTCATCAATAAAAACAATATTTCGATAGCGATTAATAGACGAGATTAAAGTGTACCACCTAAAATATTCAATACGAAGATTTTTTACATCATTATATATATTATTTCTATACCTATTCCTTATTTACTTCAATACTTTTAAGTAAAATAATTTTGTTCTGAAAAACTACTTTAAGAGCAAAAAAGTAGATAAACTATAAAAC